AAAAAAAAAAACCACACAGAAGTAAAACCCATAGTAGCTTCCTGGCAGCCTTCAGTGGTCACTCCCATCACACGGGCTGTCACCACACCCCTTCTCTGGACTCCATCACCGCGTCTGCTTTACAGTGCAAAAGTTGTGTATCAGTCATTCATGCTCTTTGTCTTTCTCTTGAGTCTGAAGAACCCCTGCTGCCTGCACAGTGTCTGGCACAGATGCCACACTCAACACAAGCTGTCTAAGACGTCACATGCAAGTGCCTGGGTCTATTTATCGTTCCGATTGGAAGCTGTCAGCAGCTCCTATAGGCTGGAAATTCCACTTGACTGCATACAGGCTTGGCTCCACGAGAATTCTCTCCCACAGTGAGGACTGGCCTAGAGACCACTTCTCAAGTCCTCACTGAATTAGACTCCCCGGGCACCAGGAACAGGACTGACATTTTAAGTACTCCACAAGGGATCATGACAGGTGGCCAGACTGTGAGACCAACTACTTACTCCCAGGTCCTTTATGCCTCTGGCATCTCGAAAAACCAAAAAAAAAAAAAAAAAAGAATTGCCAAACCACTCCAACTACTAAATAATCAAAAAGCTGAATACTCCTATACACTCCTCCTCCCACATCTTCTTCTTCGAAAAATCCTGAGGACTCCTGCCTAGGGCAGTTCTGACTGGTTCCACCCCCACATCACTCACCCGCAGCAGAGCCTGGCTGGCCAGAACCTCAAAGGCTTGGACCACATTGATGTCGTTCTTGGCGCTAACTTCAAAGTAAGGCATGTCCTTAGCTTTACACCATCCGTGGGCCACCTCCTGGGGCACCTGGGGGAGAGAAATGGTCAGTTTCTGCATTGCTGGTGCCACAGCCGCTGCCGTGGTTGCTACTGTGGCTTCAATGTGGTTTGTTCCCTCCAGAACCCATGTTGAGGTTGATTCCCTCCCCTCCACAACTCTGTTGATGCTGAGAATAAAGGAGATGAGGTCGTTAGGAAGAACTAACATGGCACTAAGAAGATGGCTCAGTGAGAAAGAGCATTCCCTGCCCATGGATGAGGACCTGAGTTCAAATCCCTGGCACCCACATAAAAGCTGGTATGTCCATAGACGCCTGAGACCCCAGTGCTGTGAGCCAGAGACAGGGGGGTCCTGAGAGGACACTGACCAGTCAGCCTCACAAACTAGGCAAGCTTCAGTGCAATGAGAGACTCTGTCTCAAGGGAACCAGGAGGTTCACGACAGGGTGGGACAGCTGATGGCCTCCTTGACCTCTGCCCATGCAGGGGCATAAACGCCTTCCTCAACACGCATACATGCATAGACATTTTAAGAAGAGAAGATCAAAAGGGACCAGCACCCGAGGGAGTGAGGTCTCTTGTGTGGGACTGAGAGCCATTTGTCAGAAAGTGAGGCCAACCCTCAGCTTTTGATCATCTCTATTTTCTCTTCCATTTTCTGTCGCCAACACCATCCCTTCCTGCCCTGCCGCAGGATCACCGCAACTGCCTCTCTTGATGACTGAGAACCTCTCCTCTGTCTGCAGCTCCATATTTTATCTTTTTAGTTCCTAACGTGAATGTCTGAGGTGGGCGTTGCCAATGCCATTTTACAGATGAGCGCCTGGAGCGGTGGATCTCAACTGGTGGGTCCTGACCCCTTTGGGTGTTGAATGACCCTTACATAGGGGTCACTAAGGCCATCATAAAATACAGGTATTTGCATCAAATTTCATAAAAGAGTCAAAAGTACAGTTATGAAGTAACAATAAAAATAATTTTATGTTTGGGGATGGGGGTCAGCACAACACGAGGAACTGTGTAAAGTATCGCAGCATCAGGAAGGTTGAGAACCACTGACCTGGAGAATGACCTTTGCTCAGAACACAGCCTGGGCAGGATTTGAACATGGACCTGCCAGAATTAGAGCCCACTTCACTCTCTGGCTTTCTAAGGTCTGTGGCCTTTACTGCTGAGCTGTCATATTGGCCTCCATTTACATAGCTTTGGTTTTGATGCGTTTTCCTCATCTATATTTAAAATGATTATTATATAAATTTAAAATTAGAATTTCTGGGGGCTAAAGAGGTGGTTCAGCAGTTAAGAACCTTTGCTGCTCTTGCAGAGGACCTGGGTTTGGTTACCAACACCTATACGGCAGCTCAGTTACCATGACTCTAGTCCCAGGGCATCCAATGCCTCTGCAGGAGGCACTGCGTGTATGTGGTACACTTACATGCATGTAAGCAAAATACTCATAGACATGAAATGAGAATAAATGAAACTTTAAAAGGATTAGCATATATAATACTAGCTAGCAAACTCTAAGAATAAGACTATTGTAGGAAACACCATCCCAGTTCCATTGGTGGTAGGTCAGAACTCACTCTTGGAAGTGGAGCTAAGTAAGCATTAAAGCTCCAGTGAATAAATCTCTGCAGCTCAGATGTTAGAGCCCCTTCATCAAGAACTAAGGTTTTCCCACTGTTGGCTTCTGTGGAAGGGTTTTTTTTTTTTTAAACAAAAGTAAGGTAGTAAATTCTTTCAAATCATTCTGGCTATATGCACGTTTGCATATATATGTACATATTTATTTTAGTAAGATACACACCACATTTAACAACATTGGAGTCATACTTAAGCATATGATTCAGGGAATTAAGTGTAGCACAAATAATAAAAACTCAGAGACAGAAATTGGGGTTCATCCTGAAAACCAGAAGAGCAAAGGAACCAAGACACAAGAGAAATCTTACTTCTCTCTACCAAGGCTGGGCAACAGCAGACTAAACAGCCTAAGCCTCTCTCTCCTCCCATTTTAAATCCCCTCCAGTGCTGGGACTAAGGGAGTAGGACTCCCTAGTACTTGGATTAAAGGTGTAGGCCACCACCACCACCTGGATTTATTTCTGCATTGATCTTGTGTAGCCCAGGGTGGCCTTGAACTCACAAAGATCCATCTGACTTTGTCTCCCAAATCCTGGAGTTAAAGGTGTACGTCACCATTGCCTGACCTCTAGTGGTTTTATCTTTGCTTCTGGTCTTCAGGCAAGATTTATTTATCAAAATACAAATAATATACCACTACGCTTAAGTATATGCCTACTGTTGTGGGACCATCATCATAGCTTGAGTACAGAATTTCCTTCTCCCCAAGTTTATCAATGTATTTATTTTCCTATAATTAAGTAGGAAAAAAACTAAGCCAGGCAGTGGTGGTACACACCTTTAATCCTAGCACTTGGGAGGCAGAGGTAGGAGGATCTCTGTGAGTTCGAGGCCAGCCTGGTCTACAGAGCGACTTCCAAGACAGCCAGGGCTGTTACACAGAGAAAACCTCTCTCAAACAACAAGAACAGCAAAAGTAGGAAAATCTACTTTACCAGGCCTGTCCCTAAGGTGTACACAATCACAATATTACCCTTAATCCTCAAATAATATAAGAAATCCATCTGGTTTCCACAGAAGAGAAGAGGTTGGAGTGGACTTAGGGCACACCGGGAACATGGCCGACCATTGGCGGGCTGCTCAGCCGGGGAGCTAAAAGAGATGGTGCCTAACCACTCAGCTTTGCACCAGTGAGTGCAAGCCTCCCTGGATAGTCACTTGGCTAGTCTTCATTTTCCTCATCCCACCCAGGGGTTGACAAACAGCTAAGTTGGCATCAGAGCAAGGAGATGTGAGGGCAGCAGCAGCCCCTCCTTGGTTCTTGGTCCTAACAATGTAGGGTATTTGTAGTAAGTCTCTCTGCTTTCTCTTCCCACTTTCCCTTCCCTGAACCCGTTTCCTTGTTCAGTACCTCTTAACTCTGCTTCCCACTAGGCCATCCCCCTCCAGACCCCGCCTCTGGGCCTCCTTCCCAACAGACAAACTCCCTTCATCTTCCCCAAATCATCCTTTACCCACCCCACTTGGCTGACCCTGGCTTCTCCTTGGGTCTCCATCATCTCTCTCTCACCATCTCCACTGAGGTCATTTCCGCATCTGCCTCTCCATAGATGATGGAGGGGATTGGCTTGCCTGGTGCCTCATTGCTTCTCTAAAGCAAAGCTCAGTGTCCGTCTGTCATGTCTCTCCCGCCCTCCCCGTGCTTGGTGGGCTCAGAACATCTGTCTTATGAGGCGTCACCTGCCCTTCACCCAGCCAGGCACCTCCCGTTCATTGAACATTTGCAACCCTCATCCTTTCTCCATCAACAGTGGCTGCCGCTACTCACGGTAGCCAGAATTCCTTTTCTGCCAACAGTCACTGCACGTCTCCATCTTCTTCACAGAATCAGATGCAAATACAAATCTAGCCTTCCCTTCTGTGACCACAGCGTGCTCTCTCTTCATCTTCTGCATCCCCATCCTACCCTGGTCTCTAAAAGCTGATGGTGCAACTGCCCTGCCCCTCCCCCTTCCTCCAGCTTCCTCAGAGCCCTCCCACCCCCACCCTCCGATTCTCTTGCTTGGAGAAGCTGCAGTCCCAGGTCCCTTGGTCCTAGCATCTGCTCCAGCAGGGCTGTGGAAACACTCCGCTTCTGCTCCTGCAAGCTCACAGCCTCCTCCTTCAGCTAAGCCCTCCGTGTTTTATTACTTCTTGTCCTTGTTCCATCAGCTCATCCTCTTGTGTTTGGATTTAATCAAGTAATCAGAATCCAGACAAAATTGTATTAATTTGGAGTCTATGAAATTTAGAGAGATTCTAAATAGTCAACCTTTACCATGATTCCTAAGTCTCCTTTTTGGTTTCCTTCCTGGAGGGGTGGTACCTATTATTTCGCTGAGAAAACTCTGGCCACCTTTTCCTGAACTCCTTCAACTTGTGGATGTGTGAAAGATGTTAAAATGGATGTTTGGATCTCAGCATTGTAATCCAATAGACTTCACATGTGCTTTGGGGCGACCTTGGACCACGCATGTCTCCAAGGGTTCGTGATGAAGACTCTTTTAGATAATACTAATACCCACAGCATGGACATAAAAGGCTTGGCAGGAAGGACTGGATAGCATTCCTTTGGAGAGAGCTGTGTTGTCAGTGTAATTACTCCTGCCTCTCTCAAGAGTCGACAGAGGGCCTTGAGGTCGATCCTAACATATGGCCTCTGAAGCCTGGTGAGTGTGACAGACTGGTGGTGTCTGGCACATGCCTGAAGGTTCCAAGGTGAAAGAAAGATCATGAGGTGGAGAGAGAACTAACTCCTTAGAAGATGGCCAGAGTGCCTGAGTATGCCTAGGCTGGGCATGGGCTCCATGCAGGGACAGTCAGGTTGGAGCTAAGATGACTGATTGAAGCTGAGGGAAGAAAGCAGGAGATTGCAAGACACTTGTTTCTTTTAGACACCATAGAATGTCACCCAGTTAGGGGTCTAAGGACCTAAAGGACCTATTCATAGAAGAGGGACTTACCACACCTGCCAGCCAGAGAGCACAATGCTACACCACGAAAGTCCCACAAAATGAGAACTGTCCTGCTCCCTGGCCACTTCTCGTTCTTCCTGCTTCACTCCAGACAGGACTAGATCCCAGAGCACCTATCTGACCTAAGCCGTGGGGAATGTGAAATCTCCCCTGCAGCTGGCCCAGTGTGGGAAGACAGGGAGACCTGGGTTATTGTCTGAGACAGGATGTTTCGAAGCATCCTGTTACCAACCTGAACTAGCCACACAGAGCCGGAGACTTGTTTCCAGCTCGTACTTCTCCCGTGAAGTTTTGTTCTTAGGTATTTCAAAGCTTGCCAGTTCCCTAATGGCTTGAGGTCGCATCTCCAAACTTCTCAGATTCTGGATGCCCAAATCAAATATGTCTTCCTCTCTGAACAGGGACCTTCCTCTCTGTAGGTGAGTGCAGCTGGAAGTACCCCTTCTGCCTCCCTCCCTCCTCCTGTCCACACCATACTTCGCGGTACTAAGTTTTGGTTCATTTCTCCTGCGGTTTTCTATTTGAACCATTGAAAAACCCAGTTCCAACACAATGACTCAGTTCCGCATCAATGCTTTTCCATTAGAAATACCAAGAGAATGTGGTTCTAACCGCTCCTTCAGGTGTTTTTTTTAGGGGGGGTGGCTTCATTTGGCACAAAATACCTTTGTTTTAATTTTTACAAATTAAGACAATCTCTGTTCCTTTTTTGGTAAAGGTTGAAAGAACTCTCTGCTCAGTAGCCCTGTGAGGGCTACTACTCATGCAAGTGGGGCCACTGCAGTCATGGGGTAGACCAGTTGTCTCAACTATCTCAGACACACAGACACACAGATACACACACATACACAAATATATAACAATAAAAAATTTTAAATTGTCTATAAAATTTGTAGGTCAAAAATTTGATACCTTTAGATCCCTCTGTGACCCTAGACAGAAATACTGTTCTGAGATTAAATCGAATTCCACCAAGACCTGACTCCTGGCTCCTCTGAGGTCCGAAATCTCCCACTCCCTGCCACTTGTGTCTCTCACATCTCACTGTTCCTTTAGTCAAGAACCCACATCTTCTAGGAGCTAGCTCTCTGTTCTGGACTTAGACTTAGTTCATTCTGACCGCCAAATCTCCACAGTGCGTTCGTTGCTTTGGCCTCATTGCACCATAACTGCCACTATTAGACTGTGGAATCCTTGAAGGGAGGACTCCGTAGCACCGTATGAGACCTAACACAGATCTGGTGGGCAGTCGTTACATTCAGTTGGTTGAATGAATGAATGAACGAAAACACAGTACCTTCCTGTCTTCCAGATCGATTTTGTTCCCAAGCACTACCATGGGATATGATTGCTCCATGGGGTTGATCTTGGCTAGGACGTCATCCCTCCAGATACCCAGGGCTTCAAAGGACTCTGGATCAGTGACGTCGAATGCCAAGACACAGCCGTCGGAACCTTTGTAGAATGTTGATACCATGGAACGGAAGCGCTCTTGACCACCTGTGTCCCAGATCTGGAGGGGAAGAACAGCACGGCCAGGCTCTGATGAGAGACGGAAGGGAAACCCAGCAAGGCTGTGTCCTGCTAAAAGTTTCATTTCTGGATGGTGAGTGGGTGGAGGTGTGCACCATCTTTCCATACCCAGACAGCGCAGCCTCACACTCAACCCCCACCCCCCAGCTCTTAGCTCTGACTTTTTCTCTGTCTTATCAGGGTGGGGGTTGTTACCCCAGCCCCCAACAGTATCCTTTGTGTTTGTAGGTCCTCTGTCTCGGTTACATTGTTCACCTCTGCTATGTAGATGAGCAAGGGTGTGTTTGTGCTCAGTGAACAGACTGGGGTCGGCTGGGAGTTGTGCTCCACTGGCCTGCTCCAGGCCTTCCCAGTTCTGGTACACATTGTTATGTGAGCGGGCGGTTTTCAGGAGTGTGCACTACAGAGGCGGAGGGGACTGCTCACCTGGAGCTTCAAAGTGGTGTCATCCTGGATGATGATTTTGGAGAGGATGCTGGCCCCCAGGGTGGTCTGGTATTCCTCAAAAAAGGTTTTGTGTACATATTGGTGAAGGAGAGAGGTCTTTCCCACACTGAGGAAAAAATACTCCACATATGTATAAATGCATACCAATACACACACACACACGCGCACACACACACACACACACATGCACACACACCTATGCCTTTCTCAGGACATTACAATGACTTTGCACTGTGGTCCTTCCTTGAGTCTTTGAATTAAATTCTTTACTTTTTCTTTTTTTGAACCAAAGTTTAAGAATGGGCTTTGATATATGAGTGACTTCACGTAAGGGGGATGGGGGGACTCACAGAAAGACCACAGTTACACCCTAGGAGGGGCTCAGGTGTCTCAAGAGAGAGTTGCTCAGATTCTGAATTTCTAGTCTGTATGGTCTGGAGACTACCTTTTGAGGAGCAAAGGACTGGGAGTAGTTTCTAGGAGCTGAAACCAACTGAAATGAGCAGTTTGGATAAGGCTGGGTGTCCCACAACTGTGCTCGGATTTTTGTTGGGTGTGGCAGGCCATGGAGGACCCAGCGATGCTGAATGACTACATAGCCAGTTACTACAGAGCTGGACTCAAACCGAGAACTTTCCCTTGCTTGAAGCAGGATGCACTTCGCTGCCCCCTCACTCAGAAAGTGTCCCCTGGAGGTGGCAGTACAGCCTGGAGGCCTCACTGCTCCGCGGTAAAGTTGCTTATCAGCAAGCACACGGCAGCGGGGCTTGACTTACCCAAGTGCACCAACAATGATGAGTTTCAAGTCCACTTTCTTTCGAGGATTCATGAGCGGCATCAAGCCTGCAGGCAGACAGAAGTCATTTTCGCACTAGCTAGTCTTGCTTGTGTGACCATGGTCACTGAGGCTAACACTCCCACCCAGTCTCTGCCTCCCTCCGACATGCGACCCCATGACACCTCCCAAACAGCGTTTAGCATCCTGTGACTCTCACATCTGAACTCTGTTTTCCTCTGGTTTATCAGGAAATCTGTCCTGGGTTAAGGACTCCAGTGAAGCTGTACTCCTGAGGGACACACGTGACTCAGCATCCCGGAAACATCCTTCCCTTTGCTTTACAGTTGCAAGACTGACAGCCCACTCACCCCTCAGTTCTTTAGGGTCCTGCTCTTGGAGGTAGCCCCGAGTGCCAAACAGCAGGACAGATCTGAACAGAGACCTCGCACACAGCACCGCTTAGAGCCAGGAGTGGAGGCCAGTGTGGGAAGAGGGGATGGGGTGGGCAGGACAAGGGGTCCATTGTTGGGACTGCCTGCAGCCTTTGGATGACTGAAAGTCCCTCCCCCACAAATGCACTGCCCTTGCAGAATCACAGGGCTCTTTTCTGAAGCTGGAAGGGGTGAAATCGGTACATGCTTCTGGAGAGCTACTTGGCAGCACGTGCGGAGAGCCTCAAAATAGTTCTGACCTCTACTTCTAGGAATTTTTCTTAGAGAAATCACCAGAAACTTGAGGAAAGATTTCAAGGCCATCCTTCCAGCCTTGCTTATAAATACTCCACAGTGAAGAAGTAGTTGGGCCAGGACACCTGACGAATTACTTAGTAGTTATTGGAATGGAGTATTTGAAATATTTTATTATGTGTGGGAAAATATTCACGCTCTATAATTTGAGTGAAAAGTTGTTGCTAAATTATGTGTGCAATATTGGCTAAGAGTCAACTAATATCACAATTGCATTACTGTTTTTGTTGGTGTTGGGGACTGAATCCAGGGCTTTGGGAATGCTGGACCAGCACCATATACACAACTCCCATGAAATACAGAATGTGCACATAGAAAAATAGTTAAGTCCAATTATACATGCCCGACTGAATATAAACAAATTACCCCTTTCCCGTGGAGAGATACATGCAAGCCCTGAACTTGACACTGGGAGCATCTGGGATGAAACACACAGGACCTACTACAGGGAACATCAGGGAAGAAGAAACAGGGGCTGGGCAACACTAGAAAGTCTTCGCAAGACACAGACAAGGTATGTAGCTGACAACATGGTGGGGCTGAAGGAGTGAGGCTCAGGGTGTGTGCGGGTGTGTGTGTGTGTGTGTGTGTGTGTGTGTGTGCGCGCAAAGAATGAAATAGGAAAATTCTGGGGATGGAGAATGGAAAAGGTGATTGGTTTACTTCAGGGGAGCAAGACTGAGGTGGCCTATCCCATTTCATCCACCCATCCACCCATCCACCCATCCACCCATCCATCCTTCTTCTAGCTACGTATTCAAATTCCCCATCTCCCAGGGATGTAGAGGCGGGGAACAGCAAAGCCAACCAGGGCTGGCACACTGCAGCAACGTCGCTGCTTACAAAGGCAAGTCGCCCAGAAGTGGCTGGGAAGTCTGAAAAGGGCAGGTCTCTGAGAATCAGTTAGCTCTTTTTAAGAGGCCTGAGAGCAATGGAGTGCTGTTTCCTAACACTTTGGTACTGTGTGTTAACATCTTAAAGACCAATGAATATCTTAAAAGGACTTAGAGTTTCAAAATGGAGGCAGAAAATGGGAAAGCTGCGGCAATGGCCGAGCACCTGCTGAAGAATGTGCCAGCCTTTGTGCAGCTGGCTCTCCTCAATGGCTTAGAAAAGGGTCACTCAACTAGGAATATGGCTCAGTACTGCTACATTGCTGATCCGCTTGAACAAGGCTTCCATCCCTAGCAAACAAGGTGTGTGATAGGGGAGGGGACAGGTCACTCATAACTCACTCACATAACTCCACACTGTAGTAACTGGATGAGCTAGGGCTTGGATGGGAGGCCAGAGAAAGCTTGTCTGTGCCGTGGAGTCTTCAGACAACCTGAGCTGGAAGCTGTGGTTCCGAGCACATGGACACAGCAGGCACTGGGCTCAGATTTGTTGTGATCAACAAAGCCTTGGGTGTACTGGGAAAAGGCAGCCAGGGGGATGAAGAGGCTCTGTTAGAGCAAGGGACCTGGGGTGGCTGAACAGGAGCTGTACGTGAGGACCCGCACTTCAGTGAACATGCATCATGCGGAGGTGGAGGGAACGGACCACGCACATTGCCGGGGTATGTCACACTCTATATGCTGACATTTATTGTCAGACATTATGCTGAGGGCCTTGAAAATATGCAAATAAGTAGCACATTGTGTAGGTTAAGTGAATTAGTGTGTTATTGTGCTTGATGTGTTGTTGTGATATGTTAACTGGCACAAATTGAGGTTTCTTCAGAGTGGTAAGGCCTTAAAGTGTTAGCCATTTTAGTGCATACAAACTATCTGTGGGGTCGGCACTATTAGTATCCCTGTTTTACTAAGAACTAGATGTTTTCCAGAAGCTAATTTGGAGTTCCTAACAACGCACACCCTATAGTGTAGCCTGGGTTGGAGTTGAGATTTGGATCCAGGCTCAGTTCTAGAGACTGTCATGTGGTGATATTGATCACCAGTTTGGGAGGATCTGGCATGACCTGGGAGACAAACTTCTGGGTACATCTGTGAGTGAGTTCCTAGACTGAGTTAATTGAGGTGGGAAAATACACCCTCAATATAGATGCACCATTCCATGGTCTAGGATCCCGGAACAAATAGATATACATATTGAATAATACATATATACATACATACACACAATACATACATACACAATACATACATTCATGAATAATACACATACATACACACATACATACATACACACAATACATAATTCATGCATAATACACACATACATACACACACCACATACACAATACATGCATACAAATACACACATACACAATACATGCATATGCACATAAACACACATACATACATGCATGCATACATACACACATACATACACACAACACATACACAATACACACATACACAATACATGCATATACACATAAACACACATACATACATACACACAACACATACACAATACACTCATACATATATACACATACACAATACATGCATATACACATAAACACACATACATACACAATGCATACATGCACACATACATACACACAAGACATACATGCAGGCATACATACACACATAACACAATACATACATGCATGCATACATACACACATACATACATATGCATATGAATAAACACCATACACACTGAGCACTGACATTCATCTGGCTGCAGATGCAGTGTGAGCAGCTGCCCTGTGTTCCTGCTGCCATGCCGTCCCCAACCATGATGGATTGTTCTATCAAACTGTGAGCCTAAATAAGCCCTGAATTCTTCAAATTGCTTTGTTGGCATTTTGGCACAACAATGAGACGTACAGTGAGTGCAACTTGGCTACTGATAACCCAGGCTTTTATTTTTTAGTACTAGAAAAAGTGTTGAAGCCAGGAGCCTGCTAGGCAGATACTTGGTCAGAGAGCCCCATCCTCACACCTTTTTGAGGTGGAGACTCATGTCATTGCCCAGACTGGCCTCAAACCAGCAGTCCTCTGCCTCAGACCCCCAAGTATCTAGGACTGTAAAGGGTACCACTGTGGCCAGAGACTTTGCCCGTAAGTGGAGATGAACCAGGCTAACACAGCTTGGCTGCTGAAGGACCTGCCGGAGCACATGTTTGCTCTACCTGCATGTCCACCACCAACATGCTTACTTTTTACAAAATTAAACCAATTAAAACATTTCATATATGTGTACTGCATTTACATCATTCCACCCTACCCTTCCCCCTCCCTCCGACCCTTCCCATGCTCCCAACCCTACCCCATGCACTCCCAAAGTCATAGCCTCTTTTAATAGCAGAATTCCTTCACAAACGCCAATCCATGTATATTCTGAAATATCAGATCATTTAAAAAAGGATGAAGTGAAGACCTGCACATGCACACGCACACACTGTAATTTAGGAAGAAAAGGAAACGCAGCGTGAACGGTTGACAGAGTGTGGTTGAACCCAAGTGTCAGGAATAAGCATCAGTGTGTCTCCGTGTCTGACCTCACTCACATGCGTCCTGGAAACACAGAAAGAAGCACACTGTCTGTGGAGAGACGGGAAAGAAGGCAGAAGGGGCTAGGAGTTTTCATTCTGTCTCAAGTGTCTGTATTTTTAAAACTTATTCTGCAATCTCAGTTTCTGTAATTTAAGAATATTAGAAGACTTAACCTCTCTCTTTCCACAAGTCCCACCCTGACTTAACCTCTCTGTGTGAAGCATGTGTGACTGACTGGGTGACTGAACGGGATTTCCTCTTTGGATGACTCACTGTGACTAGGGAGGGGAGGGGACTGCCTCATACCAGGCAATGACCGTGACTTTGGGGGTCAGAGAGCCCTCTCTCTTCCCTAATGTGCCCATCTATGACCTTGAGCCTAGACTATTACTAGCTTTGGGGTCTCCACTCCCTCCTGGATAAAATGGACACGACTTCTGGCTATGGCTTCATCAGCAGAGGGTACGTGTGTGTCATGTTATGATAGCATAGCAGGATCACAAGGTTAGGAAAGATCCAGGGAACAGCAGGACACCTTTGTGGGGTGGGGCTGGTAGAGGAGGTCCTGAGACTCAATTTGCAGTGGTTGCTATTTTTGATGCTGCACACCTGTCCACCATGGTTGATTTCAAACTACACGCATGGCGCGCGCATAGGACTGGGAGGTCAAAGTCACTTGGTCTAGTACTGGGCACGACATACCCTGAGTGCTTGCTCCTCTCACCGGAGGTAGCTTTCTTCACCCACAAAAATGCTCAATTCCTCTGCAACACCAGGCACTGGGAGGGGCGATGATGGGGCAGGGGTTGGTGTCTTTCCTATGGGTTTCGCTTGCCTCTTCTGATCCTCGTGACTCCTCCACCCCTTTCACTGTCCCCATCCCCTTTCCACATGTGCCCTGGAACTGTGCTGCCACCAAAGACTCCTCTGCCCCATGCCACAAAGGGTGAACATTTTATGAGTCTGACATCTAAAAATAGCCTTGACCTTTGGCTCAGAGAGTGACCCGGGCAGGCCCAGTGCTAAGGTTGGTTAATTTGGGGGCAGACAGGAGTGGCGGCTCTCTTGACTACTCCCAAGTTTCAGATGGTAGCTGAAGCGTCCTTTACCCCCCGCCGGACTATACCCACATTGTCCCTTTCAGCCTCTTTCAACTCACTGCAGGACCGAAAGCTTCAAAGAGGAAGGCAGGGAATCTGCCCATCAGCAAGGCTGAGTCATCTTCACTGCTGCTGAACAGTGAGTAGCAAGCTTGGAATGCAGGACCAGCCCAGCCAGCCCAACCCACACAGAGCAGGACTCCAGAGGGACCACCTCTTCTCTGCTCTTGGCCAGCAGCACATCCCAGCCCATTTGCCTGAGTTTCTCAGCAAAGCCAGGAAGACTGAGTTGCTGCAGAGTACCTGGGTTTGTGATTGGCCTGCGGGAACTCACAGGGGTCTCAGCCTTCACCTTTCCACGTCCCTTCCCTCTCTTTCCCACTGGCTCCAGGAAGGACCCAGCACAGCCTCTTGCCTTACTTGTCCTGGGTGAGTCCCATGTAAGTTGTCAGGGAGACCAGAGAAGAGGGATAGCTAAGAATTCTGCATCAGGCGCAGTTTCCCTGCACAGTATACAACCTTCCCCAGCTTCTTCTCTTCTCCCTCTGGCACCCCATACTATATTCAATCTAAAAAAAATTAGTGGGACTTACAGGTTGAGTGTAGAGGCTTCTGTTTAGTGAGATTCCCGGGAACACGAGGCTTGTTGCCTGCCAGGATCTCTTGAGAGTCTGCCTCACCCACCCAGATCCTAGCAGGTCTAAACCTGCTTTCTCCACAAAGTACACCCACAGAAGACTCAGTGTTCTCATTCTTTAAGATCTTTGGGGGGAGGTGTTTGTCCTGATTCTCCAAGTAGACTGCCTGTACCCTAGACAGTGCCTCTTACCTCTCTATCTCCCTGTCCCCAAAGCATGGTGACTGAAGCTGGGAATCTGGAGATTTCTGAGTAGTGATGCATCCACCCATGTGCCATGCATCTATGCATGCACTGAGTCTTTCATCCATCCATGCATTTGCCCATCCACACACCCATGTAGCACATACCTGCATGCAAAAACATAGCACATGTCCAAGGATACTCAGAAACCCATTTCTCCACAGGCTCTTTGTGATGGGGGATTGATCAATAAGCCCAAATCAATCATTTTAATCAATACACAATGCCTAGCAATGATAGAATGAATGTTATTATAGCTCAGTGGATACTTGAATCAAAGACTAGTTGGTGGGATAGCAAGATGGCTCACAGGTAAATGTGCTTGTCATGCAAGCCTGGTGACCTGAGTTTGATTTTCAGAACTCATGTGAAGGTGGAAGAAGAGAACCAACTCCAGAAAGTTGTCCTCTGGCCTCTACACATGCGCTGTGGTAAATGTGCGCATCCATCATGCATACAAAACCCATCACACATAGAGACACAGACACACAGACACGCAAGCCCACACATGCACACACAAACACACGGGGGGGGGGAGAGAACAACAACACACTAGATGAGTACCCCCTTAGAGTAGAATCCGGGACTGTCCAACTCATTGGCTCATGCATTTTAGCTCCTTGTCAGAAGAAATACTTATGACTTAGAATAAGAGGGATGTTTTCTTATTTTTTTGGGGGGGGATCTTATCTTTCTCTGACAGCCCCCACATCGACATCCCAGAAGGCACCCCGTCCATGTGCCAGTTTGACGCCAGATGCTTCAGGGTGCAGCCCTCTTGGAAGGCTCCAGTTACTGGCAAACTGCAGATCTAGGGGCGTAGCACTATCCTCCTGCGTCTGAGCTGCTGTGTCCTGTCTAGCATTGCCACAGATCCCCGTGACTGGGAGGGAAGTCCTTTCTCCACCACACCCAGGAACGTTCTCTGTAGAGCAGGGGTCTTTGGGCTGAAGTAAAACCCTGCACCTGCCGCATTTCTTAGCCTCATCCCTGCACCATTCACCGTTGTTTCTAATCCTCTTCACCAACACCCAGACAGTTCGGGAGCGGCTGGCACTTGGAAGGACAGAGAGGCTGCCAGGACACTCACAGCCACGGCTGCAGGGCACTCACCTCACACAGGCGGGAGTTCTGGTCTGGATCTCTCTTCCCCTGAGCGGCAGTTTCAATCTGGCCAGTGTTGAGCACGTAAAAGGCTTTGGTAAGAGGCCACTTCCCTCTGAGTTTTCCTCCTCTCTCTGCACATACTTGGGAAAGTTGCAAAAGAGGCTGGGCCTGGGTGACCTCAGCTGTGTGGGTGGAGTGGACTGGGAGAGCCAGGCTTCAGAGCTGCCCAGATTTAGGGCACCGGGGTATTTACTGCATAAAGATCCTGGTCCCAGGGGATGAGGAATGGCAGGCTTGAGTTGGGGAACTTTTGAACAGAGGGCCTGCAAGGTGGCATGCCCAATTTATGGACTTGTAGGATCATCTGCCTCTGTCCATGGGAGTCCCAGGAAAGAAGCCCTTTGTTGTTTTCCTTACACTCATGGAGCAGATTTGGTCCAGCCACCAGGGCACCAGGAAGGTTGGGAAAAGTTCTGACCTTAGGCCTTGCCCTTACTGTGCCCACCCCTCACACTGACACATATGCACATGCATGTGCACACACACACACTACTCTGTATACACACCCTACATCTTTGCCACACTTGTTATATACACACAACACATGCCCCATTCCTCACCACACACACTTCAAACCACCCACGCCCCCAACTTCACTCGTGTAGAATAAACTCACCCCATACACTCCACACCACGTCAGACATGTAAGAGGTAAAGCATGTCCTGGAACCCCCAAACCCCACCCTGGGCCCCTCTGGTTGGTTGTGTGGCCCAAACTGAAGCACCCAGAAGGCGACAGTAAATTAAAATACTGTTAGCACACAGTTAATTTGGGCATCGCGTTTCCCTGCCTTGGGTGAGTATAGTTGGCAGATGGAGTGAGTTTAGACATGACTCCCCAGATCTTTCCCCTAGGGTGGTGTATTTGGTGCACTCCGCATCCCTCACAAGTTAGGAGTCTGTCTCCTTGTAGACCCATTCCTTTGGTTACCGTGCTGTCAGAAAGTTCCTCCTGCTTCCAGTTGTTTCCTATGATGGGGCTTTTCCAGCCGCCATGTGTCTAAACCAGCCATAGAGACTTGCATTTGGAAAGCCAACAAGTAGCTTTGGATCCCACGCTCGGCCAATTGTGCTTCCAGCATGGGCCCTACTAAAGAGTTTTCGGTGGAACAAAAATTGAAGCTTATTTTCTTGTATCATCTAGGAAACAGTCTTGGGAGAAGGGACCTAATGATTTCTACACTGAATTCTTTATAGGAAGACTGAGGGGACTTCTAAAGCCTGTTGGCACAAGTGAAGTAATTTGGTTGCTCAGGAAGCCAAGGCGGTGTCCTGATGGATGCTGGTTATGGAGGCTGCTGGGCACTTGGACTGGTGTCCTTTAGAGGTTCCTCACCCCACCCTGAGTCTATACCACCCTGAATGAATCCAGTGATCTCCTGTCTGTACACCACATATATGCGGTGCCTGTGGAAGCCAGAAGAGAAGAGGGTGTTGGCTTCCCTTGGAAATGGAGTTACAGATGTTAGTTAGCTGATGTGAGTACTGGGAATTGAACCTGGACCCTCTAGAAGAGCAGTCAGCACTCCTAACCACTGATCCATCTCTCTAGCTCCCAGTGATCTCATAAGCTCTGTGGAGTTGGCCTGGTTAGAACGTGGATGGGAGAAGCTTCCCCAATATTATTCTACTTTTTTGAGACTAGATTTGAATTGGAACTTAGCTTGTGTAGTTGTGTGTATGCGTGTTGTGTGATGACGACTGGGGAGACCTGAACAAATGTCTGTTCAGATAGGGAGCCAAGTAAGGATGCCATAACAGGAGCATGGGTGAGGGGTCACAGGAGCAGAAGTGACTCAAAGACAGCTGCATCACCAAAGCTCTCCCAGCATGGGTGACAGCTCATGAAAGCTGTAACCTGGGCCCCCTGCACAATGCGCAAACAGCTCAACAGGTTGGAAGGTGACTCTTCCAGGCAGCTCGGACAGTCTCGCCTCATGGAGGCAGCTTGGCTGGTCTGTGCTTCTTTCAAGTAGCTCGGCAGTCCTTACTGCTTGTTTGTGCTTAGGGAGGGAGGGGTCAGGTACACCTGGTCAGTTTTAGGAACTTCCTGAAGCCTCTCTGTTGTTTACTTCCTGAGCTCAAAGAAAGCATCCCTGAAGAATGGACCGTCTCACCTCTAGCTTCCCTCTAAGGCAGAAGGTTTTATCTCAGAGGAGACGACTACACATAAGTGAGATGGTGGTGGGGCACACACCATGATGATGCAGTGACACGTGGCCTTGCTGTTACAAGGTCTGCCCTGCTGAGGATCATTTGGGGTGTGGCAAGTGCCCTGTCTGTGCCGGATTTTACAGCTTCAGAGCAGGGCCCTTAAATGTGAACTGCTTCCTTTCTTCTGGAAACTAAGGAAGCAGCTCTCAGGCTCCAGCCCCCACTTCCTCCATCCTCGTGAAGCTGAAGTCAGTAGCTTCCCTTTCGCTCTTCCATCACGCTGCGCTGGAGACCGCTGCTCAGCTTGTGCCCCGCCACACCCGCTGCATTCGTTCAGTAGTCTGAGTCGGTCTTCTTTGGCGGGACACAAGTGGGTTCTGGAGTTTAGCAGGAGACATAGGACGGAGACTAAGTAAAGGCATAAGGGAACTCAGAGGAGGAAGATGGTAGTCCTAGGTAAGGTGCTCCAAAGGGGAAGAAGAAGGAATTTGAACTGGAGCTTGAAGGACTGGCAGGCTGTGCGAGTGTTGGGTGAGGGGAGGAGGCATGCAGGATCAGTGAAACAGAAGTGACCTGAGAGTAGGCAGAGGAGATGCTGACCCTCTGAGTGGCAGAAGAGAGCTGGTATTGGAAAGGAGCCCTGTTCAGGCCAATGCCTTGGCTGTGTGTACTCGGCACTGGAAGGTTCCACCTAGATTTTGCGTATTTGTTTAGAGATGGGTGAGGACTGGTGGTAATGGTGTGTTACTATGTAACCCATGCTGGCCTTGAACCTCCGGCCTTTGAATCCTGGGATTGCAGATGTAGGACATGTCTTCCCCTGTGGTCCCTCAAGAAAAGTCTACTCTGCAGAGTGACCCGCACTCCTGGTGGAAATAGGACTCTTGAGAACAGAATGTGCAAGTGAGGACACAGATGTGTGTGTGTGTGTGTGTGTGTGTGTGCGTGTGTGTGTGCGTGTGTGTGTGTGTATTCAACAGGTTCCAGAATCTCATATGCATGGAGCAGGGAGTTTAAACAGAGGCAAGGTCTTTGACAGTCGTGAAAATCCTCCCAGCTTGAGTGTCTTTTGGTACCCAGGAGGGACTACAGGGATGATGGAGGTAGGTCTTGTATTTTATCTGTTGTTTTCATTGGTTAACTAATAAAGAAAACTGCTTGGCCTGATAGGACAGAAAATTATGTAGGTGGAGTAGACAGAACAGAATGCTGGGAGAAAGAAGCCGAGTCAAGCAGTCGCCATGATTCTCCCACTCCAGACAGATGCAGGTTAAGATCTTCCCTAGTAAGCCACCTCGTGGGCTACACAGATTATTAGAAATGGGTTAGATCAATATGTAAGAGATAGCCAATAAGAGGCTGGAACTAATGGGCCAGGCAGTGTTTAAAAGAATACAGTTTTCGTGTAATTATTTCAGGCATAAGCTAGCCATGCGGAGATGGGCAGGAACTCAGCCCGCAGCTCCAGGAGCCCTCCCTGGTGGTGGGACGCAGCCCACCACCCTTTTTACTTCACAGGGAAGTGGAAATGAGGGAAGGATGGGAGTCTCATGATTTTGGGGAACATCAGTCAGGCACTGGCTTGATGTGGGCACATGGGCACTGGTGTGAAGTGGGCACAGGGCTGTGGTGGTATCAGAGTAGGATGTTCTTGAAACATCCCTGGTAAAAGGCAGTGCTCAGGATGGGACAAAAGGCCAGGTGGCAGCAGCACTCCTGTGGCAGTGCTGGTGGGACTGGTGGGACGACAGTCACCACTTCATTTGGTCTTTTGGCAGAGGCAATAGTGTGGCTTATGCATCATGTCCGCCCTCCGGACTTCTCTTCTCAGTCTACTGGACGTGCAGCCTGAGATGCTGGAGAGGTAGCTGAGAGCTTACCTCTGATCTATAAGAACGAGGCAGAGAGAGAGAGAGAGAGAGAGAGAGAGAGAGAGAGAGAGAGAGGAGAGGAAGGGCTAACTAGAAAGAATATGGGCACTTTGAACCTCAGCTCAGTGGTACACCTTCTCCAACAAGGCCACACCCCCAATCCTTCCCAAACAATTCCACCAATTGGGAACCAAATACTTAAATATATGAGTCTATGGGGGCCATTCTCCTTCAAACTGACACAGGCACAGGGTCCTCACGTGACTTCACGATGCACTTCCTCTTACCATGATCATTTCGCAGGTGAGCAGACGTGTGGAGGTGCTGGTGGTGGGAAGCCAGTCTCGGCTTGTCCGGCTCAGAGTTCTCATTGTTAGCCTGCCTACTCTCACACTTTGGTAGCTTGTTTAGAACATCAAGCTGTTCTGACTAAACTTCAAAGGCTGGGAGTTAATAAAACAAATGAAATGTATAAACTCTATCAAGGGAAAACAAAACATATGGGCACAGGCATGATGAGGGGTGGGATGCCAGTGGGAATCCAGGCTGACTGTCTGTCTTCAGCTTGGGGTGTGTCCCTCCTACCTATAAATGACAGTGTGGGTCTGTCCTAGTGACCGTGCAGGTCTTAAAGTATCACATTCAGTGCCTGACACAAATCAAGCACTGATTGTTTGGGGTCGAACCAAACCTCAAAGAGCCAAGTGAGCTGGAAAGAAGATGGGATAAACAGACAGCAGATACATGTTGGAATAGAGAATTATCTGCGGTATCACAAACCACACACATTTTTTTCCCTTCTCCCTTCCGCCCTTTCATTTTTCTTTTAAACAGTGTCTCGATGTGAGTGCATCCTGGCCTTGAACCTCCATATTCCTGCCTGAGCTTCTATATTTTGGAATAAAAGCAGCAATTTAGAGACTATGTGGACCATGGTTTCTTTTTCGTAGAAAGAAAAACATTGCATACCAACAACTATCCCTGTTAATATGCCCAGAGGGAATTATATAATTTCAACCCCAGAATGAAGATGGCTTCCAGCTCAGTTTCTCCCTGGCA